TGCCATGAGGGGAGGTTTGTCCAGGACCGCCTCGTTTGAATTACGAGACACGGTTTTGACTCCTTTTACGACCTCCACTCGGAGGCCGGCCGGTGTCCATCCAAGATGGCTCGGGCCGCCTTGAAGAACTCGGACCCCATGGGGCGTCCGGCGGATAACTTGGAGTAAGTAGATAACGAATCGGATTGTACCTATCCATCTATTCAACACACCGCGATGGGCAATGGGTAAACACGGTGTTCATTTTATTCGAACCATGGGAGCGAGTCAATGAGTGCGGGTAGATAATCACTTATCAGGAATCTAACATTAGCTTTCAGCCCATGCCAAGAAGCAAGCCCTTGTCAATGTCAATGTCCCAGGGTCCGAAGTCTTTGTCTGATGTCATTAGGTCCACTGTCATTCCTCATGACAGAAAGAAAGCTCCGACTCGGAGTCGCCGTCTCATACTTACCAGCGCACAGTCACCGCAATAAATTTGGACTCTCGATGGTCTCACGGTCACCGGTTGATTTTCATTTGCAAGACCGGCACACGGACCCATTCCTTCCATCCATGACCTACGTCAAATGGTGCACCCGAAAACGCGCCTCCCGCCGCCACCGGAGGTACGGCCCTGTCCATACTCAAATACATCCTACACCTCCCAGTGTTCGTTCCTCTTTTGCTCCGCCCGGCACGGTGCAGAGATTGTCCAGGATTAACACGGCACCGTGAGCATGGGATTTCTCGCACATTTAGGGTTCAGCCAATGGGCAGACGCGGAACGCCGGCCAAAGTCTGATTTCGATGAGGGGGGTACTGTCGATCGTTAAAAGTACCGAGGGAAGAACGGAAGGGAAGAACGGCCTGGGTGACTCGGAGCTGCACGTGTACTGCACCCAGTAGCAAAATCGGAGTCGGAGTTTGCAGTCGCGGGGAGCATTGTTTCGATCGAGAAGGAATTTCATTCAACGAAGGAGAAGAGTGGCAAGTCTTTGAAATGAAAATTCGAGGAGACAGATTATAGGTTCCGAAACGGCGAAACCACATCCCGAATTCGATTAGATTAAAGAAAGACGCGCGCAAGGACGGGCCATTGATGCGATTTAGCTAAACCGAAGCGTCGTTTGGGACTATGGATAATAGAAATGGATACAAAGTTCTCATACACGCAGAGATGCCTAGGCCCAGGGTCATCCTGGCAGAAGTATGACTAAGATCCGAGAGACTCGAAATTCGAATGCCCAGGGTCACGATTTACGAAGAAAACGCAAAGGATTTTGAGGGTTGCTGTGAGTTCACCGTTCTCCTAATTGCACGCATAAGAAGTTGAATGGGAATGGGAGCAATTCTGGCGTGGTTAATTGCTTAATGTGGCTGAACTGATCAGTGCGAGTCGGAGCCAAGACCTCCGCGACCGCGTGCTCGAGGCAGCCCTGCTTGACAGACAGTGATAATGTATTCGCCGCGAGTTGAAAGTGTCGAGACTGGGTTGCGATCAAGAAAAGAAGTGATGTCGAATGGCATCCCGCCGACCAACCCGGAATGATGATCTTCGGACTTGGGATTATTTAACCAACTGGGTGCTATTGTAGAAGCAAAGTTCACATTGCTATGGTAGCCCGCCCATAGGAATGCAGTGGTTGAGATTCAATCTCCGATACATGGCATCGTTCATGAGCTGCCCAGTGACTGCGATACAACTGCGATAGTATTTGCGGTAGGCTCCACGAATTTGAGAAGCACGTCTTCCGTACATTGAGCCTGGCTCGCTAAACAAAACACATTGTACCCGTCGGAGGATATTGACTGTACACTGCACCCGCCGCTTTGTACATGCTGAAGAGAGCGAGCCGTGGTTTCTGCCGGGGTCATTCGAAATTCCAACAGAAATGTCGACAGAGCAGGCTGCAAGGCAGCAAGGGTGGTTTATCAATTGCTGCCGATTTACTGCAGTCCATTCCGTCCAGTGTGATGGCCGCCTTCGAGTCCCAATCGATCCGCTGAGTTTCAAGTCGAAATCAAATGTGGATGGCTAGAGTACAGCTTCGACGGTTTCGAAATACCCCGCCGCCCTCGGCCTCCTGTACCCGCACGCGCCCGGTGACTTGAAGTCGTTCAAGAATACGGACCTAAACTGGCGTGAATTTAATTGCATCTGAGGTGGGTACTAGTCTCTGATGCGGTGCAAAGACGGCTATTATGGACTGCTATAGGCTGGCTGTCCTTTGTGAAACGGAACAGATCTGAATTCTGCGGTCTGTCCCGGGAAGGACTGAGTGTCTTACTCAAGCGAGTCCTCCGACGGAGGACCCAACACTGATTTCTGCCAAGTCAAAGCTCAGAAGGTGTTTCAACTTCGACTTTGACTTTGATCGCATGATCCAAGTCTCGATCCGTCGATGTTACAAAGTTGAACCAAGGCACCTGCTAAATGGGGTCCGTCAACTTGCACGGGTTTCGAATCACCGTTCGGCGCCCGCATATGCCGCCGCCCTCGCGCCTCGAGGCCTGTAGTCGGCGTCCCGGCCACTTGTTCAAAGTAGAATACAGAATACACTCGATATCACTCAACTCCATCCGAGGAACTTGCTCGAGGTAGTATACTAGTCTCCGGTGCGGTGCAAAAACGGGGTTGTGGCCGTGGACTGCAATCGATATCCGCACTGTGAAACGAATCGGTGTCCGCCCCTCCGAATCCGCCCTCCGGGAGGCTGCCTCAGGACGACAGTATTGACTAGAGACCTTTCCACTGTGAGTCGTGACCCAATACAGTGTACAATACGACTGCACATCCATCTACCAAAAAGACTTTCCCTCGCCGCTGACGACAGTTACAGCTGCTTTTCGAGGATAGCATCACCAGTGCCGCTAGCAGGGTGGCGTCCACTCCAATGGGTTTCGTTCAATCTTGCCATGGCCAAGTGGACGTACAGATATGTATGACAATCACTTACCGCGCGCCCACCCATGTCGGACTCGGGAAGTCTCTACGTTGCCGGGTGCGCGGGAAATGACCCCACAAGCGAGGCAGAAACTGCCACTCCCAGCCACAGAAGTGGCGCTGGCCAAGGCGCGCGGGTGGATTTGTGAGATCTAGATATTGTTAGAAGGCCGGCGGTGCCCACAGTTGATCTGGTTATCGGTCGGTCTTGATGTCCGCGGGGTATTCGAATCAGCACAGGCACAGGGCTAGGAGACCGTCGTCCGCTGTTTCGCCAAGGTAAAGGCGGAGAGAGCGGGTAGCGGTCTTGACCAGGCATCGGATGGAGTGGTGCCCCGCTTCCATCTTTTGGAATGAAGATAAGTACGAGATCCAAACAAAAAGAAAAAAGACAAGAGAAGCGGAGATGAGGACTGCGTACATCGAAGGATTCATCAGAAACCCACCTGCATTTCATCTAATCAGTTTAAAGTTCAGGCCCGAAGGACTCGGACGGCCGCCACGCATCCGGCGTTTATTGGCTTGGATGTCGATGGCTCCCGCGGGGTCTGAAATTGGCGAAGGAGGGTACGGGAGGCGAGAAGTGCAAATGTGGATACGTACATCCACAGGACAAAAGACAGCGAGAAGACCATAAGTTCTGACAGATGGATTGCTTCTTTCTTGCGTGCGCCGGCTAAATGAAATGCTGACACTGGTGCGCCATAAATGCAGAGTCGGAGTCTAGTGGCATTGAGGCACTCGGGAGTGCTTCCCCACTCGTGACACGTCGACGACAGACATGAGAACGCCAGAACTTCAGAACTTCAGAATCCTAGGGCCGGTGTATCATTTAGTAAGCGTAGGTCTATAGCCGTGGGAGGATTCTTTTTCTTCAGCGTTGCTGAATATCGCCTAGTCTGCCTGCCTCTCGCGCTGCGCTCGGAACTTTGGACTCACCGTACGGACAGCAGACAAGATGAAACCAGCAAAATCCCATTCATTTGAAAGACAAGACAAAGTCCGCTCCGAGCCGTTCCCCGGCGGTGAGACTACCAGGAGTGGGAGAGTCTTGACAGAAGCTGTGGCCATCGTCGAATGAGGCCTTGCGATTGCGATTGCGATAACGACTTTCATCGGACCGATTCATGTCCAGCGCGATCGCGAAGACAATAAAAGAAGTCTCGACGATAGTTCCTGGAGGGGCGCCGTTGAGTGCGTCGTCAAGTGACAATTTTCAGCGGCTGCGGAGCAAAAGCGTGGATTAGATAGACACGGAACCGGTCCGGAAAGATGAAGCTCCAAGTTCTTCGCTGGCCGTCGGTTACAGTGGATCCCGGGAGATGAAGAGATGGTGGAAGGCAAGTGGAAGGAGACAAGATCGCGACACAGCCACTGATGCATGATAAGAGGCCGAGCCGGCATCGATTCACCCACGTCCGGCAAGCAAGTCTCCATTTCTCATGAAACCCGGTCCTTCAGCTGCCACTTTTATGCAAACGAAATGAATTTGATTCCCAGCCCACTGCCCGGAGGTACAATATGTTTCGGGCACTTCGGAGTAGCATAGTGGTCACTGGTGAGCACACCATTCACTTCAAAAATGGAACTGTATTCTTTGAGCCAGTCGTGTGTCTGGCACAGGATTAGATAGTCTCCACTGGTACCGTGTGGAGGAGATTTGTGCCGTACCTAGAAACCGCCGTGATGAACACCATATATAATTATTATTACGGGTAGGAAGGTCGACCCAACACCGATGTCCCGGTGCTCCGTCGTTCCCAGGAAAAGACCCACATTCCAAGACCAGAATGTATTGTCCAGAACCGAGATGAGGTGACTGCGCTGTTCCGCCACCCGCCTCTTCTTCCAGAGCCAGAGATTATAACTGTCGATGCTGTTGTTAAGGTCAGCGGAGACTGCTTGTATAAGTTGTCCCTGGAACTACCGGAATATGTCTGAATCAAAAATGCGGACACCGAAGAAGTGTCCAAGTGGTGTTTTCGAAATTCGTCCCTGAAGGACCCGCTTCAAAGTCGCATTTTTACAGGCACAAGGAGAAGTGAGTAGGTGTAACCCAAACACCATGTTGAAGTTTTGACTAGTATATCGGTTCAGTACACCCGCTTGTCATAATAAGGGTGTCCTCAGTTCGCGGGAGAGCAGGGTTCGACTCCCTGGTCGAGAGTTCCTTTTGCGCATTTTTGCCTTTTTTGCCTTTTTGGACTAGCAGTAGACATCGTTGTTCTCTCTCCTCGACCGTAGGAATACCCAAGGAAGTATGTACTTAGTGCCACTGTCCAAGATGAGACGGGCAACTGGCAAGTGGATGCGAATGTCGCAAATTTATTTTTCTCCGAATAAGCCCTTACAGTCATATCAGACGCTGAACATGTCTGACATTGGCCAGACCATCGCATATCAGGTCAGTCAGGCAGAATAAGGGGCAATCAGAGTCGGGTCAGACGGTGGTCAGACGGCTATAAGGGCCAATCATGCAATATTCATACAATTGGGATCGGGTCCCTACTCTGATATATTCATTCAATAGCATACATGTTTCATTCGTCCAGTATCGGGAGGGCATGCAAGACCAGCGCTCGAGCACTTCAACGCACGTGCATCATCAGATTAACGAGGTCTTCGAAGAGCACCTGCATGACCTCGTTGAGGGTCCAATCCATGTGAACGACGCCGCGTGCTGCGCTGGATGGGCAGAATTTATTGGGGCTAAACGAAATGCGAAGGGGAAACTCGAATACAGTGCACTCGACGCCGCGGTACTCCACTCAGACGCGTCGGATACGCTCAATCACGACACCTTCTTGAAGAACAAATTGCCTATGCACGTAAGTTGTACGCTCTGTTGCTTGGGAATCCGATCTCACCTTGTTCTAGGTCGCTGCCGCCTTTCTGTATGGGCGGCAGAAAGCTATTGCCTTGGCGGGGGGCGTGGCCTGCGCCACGTCGGGCCCGGTGATGAAAGACATTCATCACATCACCCACACCACGCCTGGATTGGTGGCCAACGCTGCTATCGTTGTGGGTCAATACTGATGTGATGTTGTCCCGGCGGACGAACCTCTAGACTCTGTGGGTCCCCTCTGCGGACACACAATTGAAGGGTAAAGGCGAGCAAACGGGCGCAGAATGGAGGGACGAGCACGAGGCTCTCATGTTCTATTTGACGAACGGGCTCAGGGCTCGTATGCGTAACACCGTCGAGATCTTCCGCGCGTGGGACGAGGAGTTATTCCCGCACACGGAAACGAGTCTCGGTGGCATCATGGGAGCTGGGACCTCGGCGAAAACTCTTCAAGACGCGGTCGCATCGTTGTTGCAGGGGGAGCGAATTGAGGAGGACGAGGAAGAGAACGAGAACGAGAACGAGAACGAGGAGACCGGGCGTCAAAGTGACGGAGGAAACACCGGGAGCGGGGGCAGCGAGACCGGCGGGGCACAAGAGAGGGATGGCGGGGAGCTCGACGGGAACGACGGACCTGGTAGTGACGCATAGATAGGTCCCTCGTGACATTGTCCTCCTTCCAATCCGATCGTCTCGGCCACGTGAAATGTCTAGACCTCGGCCAACTGCAGCGGCGATAGAAGGGAACGACGCAGAAGCGCATGTACCCGCGCGGCTTGGGCCGAGGGATAGCGCAGGACAGAATCCAGGAAGGGTCGGTGACTCGGTGGTGCTGGCCAAGTGACGTCGGTGGCACTGCAGTGGATCAAGGACTTCATCAGCCCGCGAGCGAGCGGCGAGACCAACAATTTTCCGTGCGGCACTGTAACCAGTGTAAGGGCCAGTCATTTGCAGCATGTGGCGGTGAAATAGTGCCCCAGAAAGATGCCGTTTAGGTTGAAGCGTGAAAGGATGCGGGAAAAAAGTTGAATTACAACATGTATAGAACATGTTGCCTATACGTTGCAATGCGTGCGTAGTCAAGTAGTTAACAGTCTTAGATTTAATTAAATAGATTCCCGTGAGGTAGCTTGTTCAAATCCCTCAAGTCGTAAGTAGTGAATTGGATATAACAGTGAGGTCAGTGAGTCACTAGAGAAATGAAGACACAGAGCAGTAAGAGAGAAAGGAGTAGCATTTTTCCCTTTATCACTTTCCAAATTGCCCTACCAGTCAGGCCCGATAAGCCCTTACCATGCCTGACAAGGCCCTCAGACCTGACCCGGTCTGACGAGCCTGATCAGCGTCTGACCGTCGTCTGATCAGCGGCTGATTCGGAATTTATCAAGGATATCAGCCTCCCGTAAGGCTGGCCGCCTTGTCAGCCCAGATCCGGCCGAGTCAGTGCTAATTTGCCGAAAAAGAAATTTGCGACAAAGCTCAGGCTAAGTATGACGAGTCGGAAGAGACAATTGAACGGGGTCCGGAAAACAGTCACGAGGAACAATTGGCTTTGGAATGCTACGACAGTGACTGAGAGAAGACCGGCGCCGCTCCAAGCCGCGGCTGTGACGGATCAACGGACCCGCTGGCTTGCGTCACTACCTTGCCACCACTCAGACTGCGCGGCTCGCAGCGCCTCGTATCCTTGCACGCTGGCCGCTCGAAATGCTCGGATGAAGCCGGAAGAGAACCATATAACGGGACGAATGCAGTCTGCCCTGACTCGTTCCTTGGTCTCCATCATTCTCCTCATCCTCGATATTCCACCTGCGTCTGAACCACCAAGGACGGAAACTCGGGGACAGTTATCGTGGTCAGTCGTTCGGCGGTGAAATTGTGCCACACGCTGGGATCCTGCTGCCAGAATGTCGCTGTCGGCCGACCCCACCAGTATGTGTACAGGTTACGCGTTCACTCATCTGACTTCTTCAGAATGCCACGGTGTGAGTTCGCCACCGATGGCGTCCGACAAGTACGTCTTCAAGTCGAACATGTCGCTCAGGCTGTCGGGAAAAAGAATTTTGATCTGGTGCCGGGCGAGTGGGCAGGTGCGTCGAGTGTTGCTAATGACTAGACCTTCTCAAAAAAAATTCTCCAGAGCCTGAACTTGGCCTGAACAGTATCACCCCGAGCTAGCACTAGTCTTCCGATTGACTCCGGTTACTACTTATTAGTTGTTTAAGCCCGGGTTCTGGTACGGCGCCACAACTTCTAAACCTTCTTTCAGTTCCTCTGCCTCCGAACTTGTTTTTGAGCAGTTCAATGGCTTCCAATGGCCGTCGTATTGCGTGACGTCGACGCATCGAAGACTCCCAGGAGGCGTTTCAGGTTTACGGCTTGAATTCTTCGCTTCACCCACATTCTGCGGCCTGCCATCTAGACGCACTCGCGTCTTGACAAGTTGAGTTGTTATTTTGGTTTGGTGCCGATGCGGACTGGCTAACCGTTGGACCTCGCAGGCATCCGAAACCGCGTAGGTCCTTCACCTATAAGGTCCCGGGCTCTCGCTCGCGCCTTGACACGAGCTCCATCCTTTCTTTCATGTTTGCGCCGCAACCGTCGATGTTCGAGAATGGCCAGTTTCAAAAGCCCGAGAATCAGCTCTTGTCTTCTATACTCGAACAACGACGAAATTGGAAGACACTGGAGAGCGGGGAAGCTATTTGGTCCCGGACGCTCGAGGCGGCTCTCATCGAAGGTAAGAGACATTACGCTCGTCAAGATACGTATTTATTTCCTGGAACCAGGGCTGCAGCACTACCAGCCGACCCCGTCCAAAGAGACCGTAATGCTAGGCCGTTTTCCCCGTCGTAATCAATTCGTCTCGCGATATATTTGGAAGAAGACGGGCCAGATGCGCACCCCGAAACAAGTGGGGAGTAGAATCCAGCAACTCCGGGAAACGTACAAGGGGCAGGAATGTACGTGGACTGACTCCTGGTGGCACCGTATTCACACAAATCAATGCAGGGCAGAAGCTCTTGTTTCCTACCCCGCAGACTGTCGTTACAGAATGCCCACCAACCGAACCCTCTGCGCCGCCCCACGTCATTATCGTGATCGACATATCCCGCACCGCCGAGTCCGCAGAGGTCCACGAAGGTCCACTGCGGCCGTGGGCAGAGAGTCCAAACGTGATCCATGTATCCCGACGCCCACGTCCGCTGGCGTCTATCGACCCCACAGTGACATTCGTGTCCGCGTCGCCGATTTGCGCCGAGTCGCATTTTAGTGTCCAAGTCGGCGACCTTGTCGTGCACAGCGAGTGCACTCCGTTAGTGCTGCGTTCCCAGTGGGGTGTAGCTCAGGATCATTCATCGTCCGGGATCTTGTGCTCTTCTGCGTTGGTCCCGCAATATTGGGGGACTTTGTTGGAATGTAGAGGTAAGCCGTCCTGGGAGCGAACTATAATTGAAATCTAATGCCTGCGCTTGTAGATCCGACGCAGTGTCGTATTTTTCATCAAGTGGCCGCGGCGGATGGAGCTATTATCTTCTCCGCTGAGTATATGTTCAACTTTTCGGACTGAGCACTGTATTTTATTGCATGGATTGGATGGAATATTTATGAAATAGATTTGGATTGAAGAGATATCTCTACTACCCGAAACGAGGCTAGCCTCCAGTTCATTCCGTCTGTCTGTCCGCAGGGCAGACCATTCCTGTTCGCTCGGGGGTACTCGGTCGCAGTGTGAAGTCCGGAACTGTGAACCAGCGGAAGTCATGCGGGCGTCCTGCCCTTAGTGTCGATGAGAGACCCATACCGACATCGTTCGTCCATTTTGCCGTAGTAGCTGAGATCAGAAATGGCTGTCTGACAGACTCGTCTATTAGTTGGACTAAAAAATTTGCCGTGTCGTCATTTCATTTGGAATCGAGGCCTACGGGTAGCCCAACTCTGCTTATTAGTTTAGTCGCAGTCCTAGTTCAGTGAATGCACGGCTACCGACGGATAGGCACGGCGCTCTATTGCTATAGAGCGGTCCAGGCTTGTAGATTCATTTCACAGAGTTCGGCCCTGACAGCCGCTGCCGGACCAGAATTTTGACTTTTGACCAGGGCAAAGCGATTGGATTTAGTGTAGAAGCGCATATGCACATGCTTCGGGGGTCGACTCGCTCGATTCTTTCGGTGGCACTTGAACACCTGAGAAGTTCTACTCGCGCCGTTTCAAGTTCATACAGAAATCGAGCGAGAAAGACGGTACGCGTGGTATGGATTTATTTTCTCGGGGTCCCTTCTCCAATCGGACGCGAAACCAAGTGCGGGACAGGTCCCCGT